TTATCCGATGGAATGAGCAGTGAATGCTCACACACATGAATTGAGTTCCACTGGTTGATGAATACCTCGGAGAGATGATAATTAACGGCATTCCGAGCGATGATTGCAGTTCGAAAATTCCAGACATTCGAAAATTTTCAAAATTTCTCTAATAGAGTTAGTATTGACCCCATTAGCTGCATTCTCTCCCCTCCCCGCCCCCTAAATTACCCCAGAATAATCAAGACGAGCATTTCGTGCTGAATTTATCGTCAAATTTATGTTTGAATGAAAATGAAACAAAAAGAAGTGAATTTTTACATCAATAATCGATTTGTTTTTTCACAGATGAGAAAGATTTTTGGGGTCGACAGTGGCCCCAGTAGATAGATCGGAAAATTTACCCACAAATTAAAAAAAAACAATGCGTTTTGCTCCCATAGAACCAGAGTTACAGCTGAAAGTGTTGAAGCGATCTAGCGATCGATAAATGATCTATGAAAATTAATTTAGGATTTTCTCCAAATCTACTGCGGCAAAATGAGCCATTTTTCTTTCACTCAACAGTAAATTCCCTCGCTCACCTGATGATAAAAACGTCAACCCATTCTGCCCCACTAGTGTTAAAAATGCTCTAATAACGATGGATTAATTGATCTATAAAAATTGTATTTCATTGAAAATTACTCCATAGGGATAAAATGGGTTGAAAACCAGTTTTGTCGGCTAAATTTTCCCTGCCCACCCCCTCCCACTTCCGCTATAATTTTATTTCACAGAATGAAACTAATAATCGCGAAAACGCGCGGGAAAATTAATGGGAAAGCGCGTTTGAAAAAAAAAACTAGGGCACGTCCTTCCGGTACACAGCTCCGGTTTTATCCCCCCCCCCCCATTCACCCACCGCCAATATTAGAGACGTTTGTACAAAAGCTCAACCGCCATTGTTGTGCAATAACAATGACGCACAATACAACCGAGGAAGTTTGCTAAGAAAAATTCATAATTCGCTTCTTGTATCCTCGGGGGTCAATAAATCCTCCTGGTGAACGTATTTATACAATATTTCTCGAGCGATAGGAACATGAAAGGAAATGATGAAATTGATGAATGGTCCTATACAATGAGAGTCACAAGGAAGCCAATTTGGGGGTTGCCTTCTGGATTCCGAATTTTTTCAATAATGAATTGCGTTATTTGCTGGCGTGGAAAAGTTGTGAGTAATGTTCGCTCAAGGCGATCTCACGGCTAAACAGTTATGTATACATGAAAATGGTTCGGATGAAAATGGTAGGCGTTCTCAAGACGAAGAGAATCGTTTTTGATTCGTATGATTATTTCAATTAGCAAGCGAGATGCAGGTGTTTTTGTTCCTGAATTTTCCGCGCTATCGCTCACAATGAGCGCGTGACTGCGTCTAAACTACAAAACGCTTTATCTCGCTTCCTAGTCAAGATATTCACGTAAGTCCGCATGAATTCCCTTCGTCGTTGAGCGAAATGCTTCTACTCGTGGAGAATTAATTACTTGATTAATGCAGAAAATTAATTGCTCCAGCTTCCGAAAAAAACAAATGAAGACAATGATCCTGGTGACCTAGAAGTAGACCCTCACTGTCGAATGCATGCACTACAATCGGAATAGGGATGAGATAGCACAATGTCGCTTGTATATTTATCATCCTGACGAAGAATGATTAATGAATGAGCGATTTATAAAGCTCGTCACGATGATCCTATCTATTCCACCGAATCGACGTTGACCTCGCTTCTTTATCCCCGCAAAAAACACTCGGATTTCCGATTTTGGATCAATCAATCACGGGGCGTACACCTCGTCCAATAACCGCACGGTGACCATTTAGTTTTTCCTGGTCGTGTCGAAGAATTTCCGGAGGAACCACTGGACCAAAATGAGCTCAATTTGAATTGGAAATGACCTCCAAATTTTGGCTGACAACTGATGTGATACCGCATGATCATGCTACACGATATTTCTGTAAGATATTCTTGAGAGACTTTCTATTGATGTTGGCGACAGGTGATTGATTTGATTATTGAGTTTTCGTTTGCTTATTTATTTTTAGTAAATTACTTGATAAATGAACTTCATGATATTCTCACTCCTGTTGTGAGATGATATCAGTGCTCCCTTCGTAAAATAAAATCAGAGTCATACACAACCGATGCGTAATAGAATCCCAATCGCTTGGAAATAATAAATAACGACAGAAGCAGGCTGACAATTTACGGAGAGCTCTTTCATCCAGAATTTACTGTTAAACTACATCGAGATGCTGTGGAAGCACCAGCGGGGCGGGAGTCCATGGGATAAACGGAATAGGGATGCGTTTATCCGGTGATCCGGAAGCTGTTGTAATCGAGGAGAGGACAATATTACTTACTGGGGGCTTGGAAACACTGGCTCAAATGTGTAAGAGAAAAGTTTCGAGTGGGGATGGTGAGGAGAAGTACTCATGCTCTTTCGAGTGCTTGGTGGGCGGAGGGTGGAGGGGGCGGGGGTTGAGGGGAGTCGGAAGACAGAGATGAGGGAGAAAAGGAGGTGTGGAGGGGGGCGAGGGGGATTGAGTGCGGTTGGTAGGCTGCATCGATCGCCACTTGCGTCCTGGTGACCTCGACCCAATGCCAACCCGCTTACATCCACTGGCTGCCGTTGCCACTGCTTCAACGTACAATCGTTCTCGCCCTCATCTTTTTCATCTTGATTTCCTCGTTCATTACTTTTTCAGGCTATCGGGTGAATAAAAATTCCACTGCTCCGGGTTTTTCCATTATTGCGCACTTTTTTCTTCACTCTATTTATTGGATTTTGTTATTTTCCAATTAATGAATTCTTGATAATTTCTGTTGATTGTCGAGAAAATTATAGGCTGAAAACACTGGTTATAAACCCATTTTGCCCTAGCAATCCATTAAAAATGAAAATAAAATTGAAAATGAAATTATTAAATTATTAATTTTTTGTTTAATGATGTTTATAATATGTTCAGTCTGGCTTTTGTAAAAATTTTTTGCAATCTTATGAATTTTTTAATGAAAAATCGAAAAAAAATTGATTCAATGTCCAAAATATTTTCAACTGTACCTCAAAAAATAATGGGGCAAAATGGGTCGTCTTTTTCTTAATCCATGAGTAAACTTTCCGATCAATCTTATGGGGTCATGATGAACCCCCCCCCCTCCATGCACCCTCAAGAGCCAAAATTTTGAGTGAGAAATTCTAAACATGAAAATTAGGGGCAAAAAAATTACACTTCATCCCCTAAAACACGACATGCATTACCCCATGGTCGCTCCACTTTTGGTCCATTCGTACGAGTGGGTGGAGTGTACCCTCTCCATAACTCGCCCCCTCCTCGCCCCCTTTATGCAAAAATGCAAGGGATGATGAGAGGGAGGTGGAGAAAATTTGCAAGCGTAGGAGTAGTAGTTGAATGTGCAGTGGAGTGGGGGTGGAACCGAAAGATTGGATGAGGACATGAGTGGGGGGAGGTGGAGGGAGAGAGGAGAGAGGGTGGCTGGATGTAGTTGCCAAGGTTACATCCGCGTCACAGCCCCTCCGAGAGCGGTTGTGTGCAGCCTCACTACTGGAGAAGGGGGAGGCTGTCGTTGACACACCCCTTAATTCCACCTTGTGCACCTTTTCACTGGGATTGTTCGTCTTCCGAAGTTCAGCGACAAATCTACTTCCTTGCTCTTTATGTTTTATTTGCCATTTTTGATATTTGCCATTTTATGTAGAAATAACAAAAATTTTTTTTTCACCCGGGGCCAAAGTGTCAGATCTTGGATTTTTACCGGGGGAAAGTCGACTTTCGCCAAAATCGAATTTTTTCGCCAAGTGAATGTTGATTCTGTATTTATTGGCCCTTCTAATGCCACTGAGACCCTCACTTGCCCCAGAAATGCAGAAATAAATTTTTTTTTTTTCACCCGGAGCCAAAGTGCCATATTTAGGCTTTTTTCGGGGGGAAAGTCGACTTTCGCCAAAATCGAATTTTTCCGCCGAGTGAAAGTTGATTCTGTATTTTCTGGCCCGCCTAATGCCCCTGAGACCCTCACTTGCCCCAGAAATGCAGAAATAAAATTTTTTTTTTTTCACCCGGAGCCAAAGTGCCATATTTAGGCTTTTTTCGGGGGGTAAGTCGACTTTCGCCAAAAACGAATTTTTCCGGGAAGTGAGGGTTGATTCTGCATCTACAAACGATTTAGATGCCAATAAAATCCTTGGAAGTGGGGAAAAGGTCGAAATAAAAAAAAAAAATTTTCACGTGACGCGGCTCAACCTCGGGTACATGTGACGCGCGTGGAGTTTATCCCAAGCTGGGGCGGAGTGGCGTATTTCTAGCTGGGATACGGGTTCCGAGCCGAGCTCGAGCGGCGTGATTTCTACCCGGGAATACAGAACATAAAACACAAACTTCTGTGCATATGCATATAATCCCTAAGAGAACACTGAGATAATCCCACTACAAGATCACGAAGTTCATTCGTCAAGTAATTTCTCAAGCATAAATAATCAAACAAAACTTCAATAATCAACAACTCATGAGCACTAAATTATGATAATTGAATGTTAACTATACGAGACGAAAAATGACGATGAGCCCTTTCACCATTAACTTTGGCTGCACTAGGTACTCTGCAACAACAAGGGGATCCTCGACAACTCGTAAAGTTGCCTCTGTAAATTTTCGAGTAACAAGCGCCGTTTTACTCGTCCCCTCCCTCCACACGCCTCTCGACGTTTCACATCTCCCATCGAGCCCAAACGTAATTGTTACACTGTGTAAACTTGTCTACGTAATTCAGCTGCAATGTCATTACCCTGACTTCAGACAGTTACCAACTGCCTGTTCACTTGTTTTTTTAACGTATTTTTTAATTGAAAATTTTTGAGGTTTTTTGGGCATTTGGGATTTTACAATCGTCCTACGGTTTTTTTTATAAATATCATAAATATTTCCCGATTCAGCTTGATGACGGCACGACGTTTGGATCATGAGAAGAAGTTTTTTCAATAATTATGTGAGTTGAAATGTTTTTTTGCTAAAAAAAATAAATTTCTAACCTTTTTCTAATTTTTTTATTTTTGATTATTTATTATTGTAGACTCGTGAGGTTTATTATAATTCCATCTAATGGTTCGAGAAGTTCACTGTCAAATTAGAAAAAAAAACGACCCATTGTGTCCTATTAATTTTCGAGTGAAAGTAAAAATAAAAATTTTATGAAATTTTTTTTTTCTATCATTTGAGAAATATTGGGGTAAAATGTTCTTTTTCTTAAATTGAATGGTAATTTTTTTGATCGATCCAATGGAGTCATTATAGACCCCAAAATATCAAGTATTTTATTAAAATTGAAGAAAATTTTTTTTTTTTCGATTTTATATTAGTTTTTACTATTTGTTCATTGTAGAATTATTAAATTTTTTACTGAATCATTCAACAGATCCGGAAATTTATCTGCTAATTAAATAAAGATCACCCATTTTGCCCCATTATTTTAAGAAAAGTCGCAAAAATAATGAATTTTAGCAATTTTTGAAATTGTAACGAATTTTAATTGCAATTCGAGAAAAGATGGGGCGAAATGGGTTTTTTTTTATGATAAATTACCTGACCTGTTCAGAGCGGTCATCATCACCCCACAATATTAATTTTAAAAAATGGTTTTTTTGTTATTTCAGAGAAATATAATCACAACATCAACAGAAAACGACTCCTGTCACTCATCCGACCTTGACCTACAAAATCCCAGTGGCTGTCATACCCAGTGGCCGCAGTCTCGCCCCACGTGTTACAAATCATCCGAATTCAAATTACGTAAGTGATGTAAGTGTCATTCCATTAAATTTGCACATGATAAATTGCCATTTCATTATTCTATATTTCATCATTAAAAATGTGAGAGAAAAAAAATTACGGTTGAATTGTGATTGATTTGTCAGACAACAGCAGGAAGAAGAAGTTTCACAGGAGCTCGAGTTTTCCGAACATTCCCGATAAATTTTCCATTGATAACCGTCAAGTAAATAATTCTTTTCTAAAAAAAATTCTCGCAAAAACAATTTTCTTGAAATTTATCATGAAGATACAGTTTAAAAAATGTTTAACTGAATTTAAAAAAAAAGAGAAACCGTTTTGCCACATTATTTCCTAAAGTTGAAGCTAAAAAAATTTTTTAAAGTCAATTTCATAGGGCAAAACGGGTCATCTTTTTTACCCCAAAACATTAATTTTTCATTTTTTTTTAATTGAAGAAAAAATTTCATTAGAAAAAAATTAATCAATATTTTTTTCCCCTTTTCCGTTTTCCAATTGACCTCAGCATCACCAGATAACTTATCTCGAGGGTACGTCGAGGCAAAAACTTCGGTAATTAAAAATATTGCCCACGGGGTATGAGAGTATAAAACGTTGTACCACCCTTTGTTCCATCTATAACTCAACTTTAATGATTTATTATCGAAACTTAGGAAGGAGGGAACACCGAGGATATTGAGAGCAATAAGACGTTACAGTGGAAAAGGTACTTGATCCCCTTTCACTCATTACTCTACCCCGAAATTTCGATAACGAGAGCTGAGATGTTTTTACATAAAAAATTATAAAATCAAATTCATCGAGTGTGTGGTTAATTGGGGTCGATAATGCCCCCATCATACAGATCGGGACATTCACTCAAAAATTAAAAAAAAATCTCTATTTCCCAAATTAAAAAAAAATCTATAAAGAAAAGGTTTTTTCCCATTTTCTCCTTTTTTTCAATTTGAGGGTGAATTTTCCAAACTGTCGAATAGAGTCATAACCACCCCGACCCACCGGAAAATCTGGATAACTCCAAAGAGAGATTTCATTACTCAAATGGGTTTAGTGAACGCGGAGGACAAGTCCTTATCGCTGAAGAGAGATAACAGCAAGAGTGACGTTGTTATCTTGTACCAGGGTGAACCGACGTCTAACCAGAATCCGCCCTCCTCAACAACCTCAAAGACCCTAGTTCGCACCTCTAAATCCGACCACACAGTAGTAACGCAGTCCCTCCCATCTAATCAACAGTTGAGTCTATCAAAATCGTTGATAAGATCAGGAGGAAATAATCTCGGAAAATTGGTTGACTCAAACGGATCATTTTTTCCTGATTTATCCATTTAGTTATTTTATTTCATTTTATTTTTTTTAATGCAATTTTGCAACTCTTGTAATTGTGAGAAATTACTTTTAGGAAATTCAATTCTAGGGACAGCCCCAGAATACCCCCAAAATTATTGCACAGACGACGAAGGCCACCGCACCGTCGTCCATTAAGAAGACAATCATTAAATGTCAATATCATCCAAGAGTCGAGAGTTGTTGATTCAGGAAGACGCAGCCCTTCCCCATGCCCGAGACAGCCAACTAATGATGTCATTAGACATATGGCTCATCCTGTGAATGAAAGGGGAAGCGAGAATAAAAGAGTTTTTCCGTTTCAGTCGACACCGAGTGGAAATCTCAAAGTCATTCCCAATCAAGTAAAAAAAAACTTTCAGGAGTAAATTGTGACATTCGTGTTACAGAATGTGCGGTAAAATGGGGTCGATAATGACGCCATTCGATAGATCGGAAAATTTACCTACAAATTGAAAAAAAAATCATTGATTTAGCTCTCATAGAACCGGAGTTACAGCGAAAAACGTAAAAGTGATCTATCAATGACGATCTACAATGATCTATAGACTTATTTAGGATTTTTGGGGGATCTACTGGGGCAAAGCGACTGGAATTTTTTTACTCAATGAGAATTTCCTCCAGCTATCCGACAGAGTCGTCTCCAATCGATTTTGCCTCCATCCTGCAAAAATGATCTAGCGATCGATGAATGATCTATAAAATTTGTTTGAAGATTTTCTCTGGATCTACTAGAGCAAAACGGATTGTCTTTTTTTTATTATTTTCGGGTAAATTTCCCAATCTATCGGCTGGGGTCACTATCGACCCAGCACCTATCATCCAAGATAACCCGAAATTTCAGGTGATTTTCGAATCGAAAAAAGTGAGTGTCTTAGTTGCTGATCCACGTCACGCAAAGGTGAACGTAAAAGCGGAGCCCAATAAACCGGAAGTGGAGATTGGTGATACTGGACAAGCAAAGGATCTACCGCCGGGTGTGACCCCGTCAGCGATTGATCATCTCCAAGCACAGAGGAAACTACCGAGAATACCCACTCAGTACGTGCCAAGAACTCAACCGCAGAGGTCAAAATTACGTCAGGATCAGATGGAGGTGAAACAGAGCAATCAAGCCAATCATCATCGTCATCAGCCAGGGAATGAAGTACCACTGGCGTCGTAAGTCCATCAGGCGCCTAATTAATTTTTGTTAATCAATTGAAAAAATAATTAAAAAATACACTAAAAAATTTTTGACTTTGCTTTCGATGATTTTTGAAGCCTTGGATTTACTGTGGAACAGCCGATAGACTGGGAGACCGTTAATTTACCCGAAAAAACTGATTTGTATGAAGAATTAGCAAGAAGAATCACTAATTACAAGTAAATAAAAAACATTCAATTTTCAAGATGATTAAAAAATTGAAAAAATCGGGTCTATAACACCTCATTTGATAAATCAGAAAATTTTAACTGAAATTTTAAAAAAGACCACCCGTTTAGCCCCATTATTTCCCGAGATATCCCCAAAAAATGAAATTCGCTCAAAAACGTTTTTTTGCTGTAACTCGAGAAAAAAATTATATTTCAAATTTTTTTTTTAGAAATGCAGATTGTATAGTGCATTTGGGTCACGACGAATTTCACTGTCACCTCCTAGTTCTCCAGAGTTACAGTGCCTTCTTCGACGAGAAAAATTGCAAAGAGATCGACTTAACTGGGGTAAACAATTTTCACAAACAATATCGCCTATCGATCCTCACTATCGTTCGTGGACACGCGGGACCAGTCATTCTCAGTTGAATGCTAAACTCGGTTGGTGTTGAGAGCCACCATTGTGTTATCGTGCTGGTGCACACCCTCGCCTGAGCAATCATTCGCCGCAGATGATGAGGCTAATGACGCATAAACAATTGGATACGGTTGACAACAAAAATTTAAAAAAATCGTCATCTCCTCTATTCGCAGTTCTTTTTTTGAATCGTATCACTTCGAAAATTCACTCGTCTATTCCCTGGACTATACGCAACGTCTCTCAAGCGTTTTTCACGCGACAATAATTTTTTGGATGAAAAAAGAACGTCAATTTTTTTTTTTCGTTTGAAGTTCATTTTCTCTCGAAAGATTTTCCTTGAACTTTTGTCTCTTTGGGGGCCAGTGTGAAAATATTCCTCCTATTTTCATGGTTTTACCTTGCGTCCGGTCTGTATAAAATTTCCTCAGGGAAATCAGATGTTTGTTTCAACAGAACAAACGTGAAATAACATGAGTTTGTTATACGAAATTCAGAGTAGCGTGACATCAAGAGCATTTTCCATCATCTATGACTGGATGATAAGCTGCAGCAGTGATAGTTGTCATCTTCTGAGGAGGGATAATATCCTTGAGATATTTACTGGCGCACAAGTGCTCGGAATTAAAGGTAAATTACTTCTCCACCGACTTCATCGCTAATGAAGTCCGAGGGGGGGAGGGTATTTGGGGTCGATGTTGACTCCACCAGATAGATCAGGAAATTTACCTACAAATTAAAAAAAAAACGATCCGTTTCGGTCCAGGAGAACCCGGGAACATCCGAATTGAATTTTTATAGATCATTTATGAATGGCTAGATCATTTTTGCAGGACTGGGGTAAAATGGGCGGGAGATGATTTCATCGGATAGTCTCAGGAATTCTCCATTGAGTTTAAGAAAAATGAATCATTTCGCCGCAGTAGATCCCTGAAAAATCCCTAATAATTCTATAGATCATAGCAGATGATCTATAGAATTATTACGTTTTTCCCTGTAACTCGCGTTCTATGAGGCCTAAATGGACAGTTTTTTTAAAATTTGGAGGTAAATTTACCGATCTTTCGAATGATGTTATTACTGACCCTAAATTCCGTGGCATCAGAACGCGGAAAATTCGAAAATTGGGGAAAATGAAAATGAAATTTTTTTTTAGAGTTGGAAGAGCAATGCTGGTCTTTCATCGAGAACGAAGATTTGTTCAGTGAAGACACGGCATTCTTACTCTACCTCGAGGCCAAAAAAATCGGAAATACCGCTGTCATGGAGCTCATGATCCCCAGGATAATGAAATTCTTCTTAATGCTCGTCAGCACCAAAGATTTCCTTGAACTTTCTGTGGACGAACTTTGTCTACTCCTTCGCTCTGATCACATTTGCGTTAACAGGTACAAAAAAAAATCATTATATGCAATTAATTCAAGTTGAAGAACAGGAAGAATTTTTTTTTCTGAATTTCAATTTTCCTAATTTCTTGTCCTCGAAAATTCAAATTTTTTTCCCATGAAATAATCAATTATTTCACACCTCCTCAAGTGAAATGGAAGTCTTAATGTCAGCCGTTAGATGGCTGATGTACGACTGGGAAACCCGTAAAGAATATCTACTCGATGTTCTCAAATGTGTGAGATTTGGTCTTATCGCCCCTTGGCAGCTGGTTGATGTCAAAAGAAACCCAGAGAATCCAGAATTTATGGAACTTATGTCCTATCCCGAGATACAAAAAATGGTGGATGACGGGCTTGCGTATGTCATCAACTATTTTCACCATTTATTCTCTAGTCACTCGATAAAATTCCCTAAAAAATCATTTTCCACTAGGAATTTTTTTTGTTTTCAACTGATTCCACTTTTTCCCCCTTAAAACCCATCTCAATGAATAGATCGGGGAATTCACCCACAAATTTAAAAAAAAACATTTTGCCTCATTCTTTATTTTTTTCGTGATGTGTTGAGAAACAATGAGGCAGAACAGATAATTTTTTTTGTCATCATCGACCCCAAAGAATGCTGTCTGAAGATAAAGAATTGAAAAACGCATTTCAGAAGAAAAAATGAATTTTTTGTTGCAAATAAATTAATTAATTCATCATTATATTTTTGTAAATGCCTTCAGCCGTTTCTTGACCCCAAAATATCAATTTTTTAACAGTTATCAATTAAAACAAGTTTAATTTATAAACGTTTCCACTTGAAGTCACTCTGGGTGTCTCTAGAGCCCTCGAATCCCTGATTTTCCCAACGACTTTGAGTCACGTACATATTGAAAACCTAGGGGGCGAGGTCCCCGGAGTACCGCCGAGTGTGTAACTCTCCTGCCCGTATTTCCGGAAATCACCCCTGAAATGAACAGTTGCCATTTCTCCTTTCACAGCTGCAATTGCAGTTTCAATCGTCAATGGTGCATTTTTTTTCCACCTTTGCGAATTAATTGTCGTTTGATCCTGACAGATTTGTGATCATTAAGTACTGGTACGGAAATCAGACCGAGGATTATTACCACTGGATTGAACTATTGGGACTCACTGAACCGGCTAATCGCAATTGGGCTGGTGAAGAAAAGGTATGGAATGATGATTTATTTTATGAAAGTTTTTTCTGCTGCAAAATTATTCTCCTTTCCCTTGAGAAATTACTCTATGAATTTTGTTATTTGAAAGATTAAAATTTTATCAATTCCAAAACGAGTGGGAAATTGCTTTCGTCATAATATTTTCAATATATTTTTGATAATAATTGAGCAATTCGCCTCTGAATGAAATTTCTATGACGATATATTTTAAATTGAATTAAATGATTCATTGAATTCAACGGTGGCCCAGCGTTACCCTGAATATCGGTTTAAAAATAAATTTTTTAATAACAAATAATGCAATCAATCTCATGATCGAACTCAGTCAAGAATGAATAAAAATTATCATTGATAACTAATTATTTTTTTGGGAATTTAAAATCAATTTTCCCTCCCATCTCTCCCTATTTATATCTTAACATTCATATCCTATACTCCGTCCTTCACATATTTATAGAACTATGTGACATATCGGGAATTCCTACTGTACCTCGAGGAGTACCAGAGGACGAAAATAGGTGAATTGAAGGCAAAAAATATTGAAAAATCCCAGACTATGTCGAACGACTGCACAGAACCGCCAATCAGACAGCCTAATAACTACCAGAATCTGCATAACCCCAGGTCATCCTCATCAGGTAGCTCCCAAAATTCCCAACAAGAAAAATCATTTCACATTTATCCCTAAATCCACTGGCTTCATTATTAAACTAAATATTCACAAAACAATCAGCAGATTTTTTCAAGTTTTCGCGGCCAAAAAAATTGATTAACTCAACTTCAGGTCTAGTGAATTTACCCCCAAACATTGGTGGCAGACCCTCGAGATGCCCAAGGATGTCGGTTGGGGGTCAGGGAGCTCAAGGAGCACCTCCCGGCTTCGGTATGCCGCCTGAAATTCTCAGCAAGTACTTGAGCAGCCTCGGGAGTCATTCCAAGGTGGTGAGTAGAGGAACAAACGACTTTGATGTGAAATTACCAAGCTTCAAGAACCAATGAATACCGAGTACTCGCTAAAATTCCTTTACTCAACATTTCTAACATCTCAACATTGACAAATATCTTATTTTTGTAATTTTTTAGAATAAACAATTATCAACATTTTAAATGACCGTAATTATCTTGTGAAATATTGACCAAAGGGATGCAAAAATAATGGCGTCAAATATCCGGGAAAATTTACCATAAGATTAAAAAAAGACGAGCCGTTTTGCTCCAGTAGATCCCGAGAAAATCCTAAATCAATTTTTATAGATTATTCATCGATCGCTAGATCGTTTCCACCTGAACGGGGCAAAGTGGGTTGGAGCCGATTGCGTCAGCCAGTCCGGGGGATACTCCATCGAATTAAAGAAAGACGAGTTATTTCGCCCCAGTAGATCCCCCAAAAATCCCGAATAAGTCCATAGATCATTTTAAATTATCGATCACTAGATCTCTTTTACATTTTTTTACTGTAACTCGGGTTCTATGAGGGCTAAATGGATAATTTTTTTTTTAATTTGTGGATAAATTTCCTGAGCTATCCAAGGGGTTATTAGTGACCCCCCTCCCCCCGCCCCTCACACAATAACTGTTAATATTTTTCAATGAATTCTGGAATTGATCAGCAAATCAGCGGATTTCAATTAAAATTCCAATTTCCGATTAATTGAATTTATTTCAATACACAATATCGAGTTGCAAAATAGAGAGTTGGCAACGTGAGAAATTGAGTTTCTTCCTGATTTACCCTGAAAGTGTGTACTAGCATAAATTCGGGTGAGTTTAAATTGCCGGGGCGCATCGATCCGCCTAAGTTTGCCAACTTCAATCTGTTTTCCAGATTATTCCCAGTCGCACTGATGTATCTCAAACAAGAAACAAGGTGGATGATGTTAGATGCGATCAGTGGAAATCAAAGAGTGGATTGAATTGGAAAAAATTGAGACAGAGAAAGAGGGGATTTTACCGGGCTAATGGAGAATACTCGGATTCTTCGAAATCTGAGGAGGAAGCTGCTACTACTATACAGGCGGTTTATAGGGGATATAAAACGCGACAGACGTTTCAAGAGGTTTCAAAGACATGAGAAAAAAAAAATTTTGAAAATCAATTTTTTAATGAAATTTTTGACATTTTGATTTTCTGAAATTGAAAAAATTTAGATTTTCAAAATTGAAAAAAAAAACATCAATTAAAAAAATTCTATTAATTAAAAAATTTCTGATTTTCATGAAATTAATCCAACATCTAGAAAAAAAAAATTATCCCGTAGATAAAAAAAATGTCATCAGAGGAGAATCAGAATGCAAGAAGAGTGGCTCACTTACTATCGATTCCCTCGATCAATAAAAATAATTTGCATCAGCCCCTCGAGCCCGTGAGGCTACCAGAAATTGGTGGGGTATCCGGAGACCCTAAAAGAGTGAGTAAACCCCTCCGCCCAAATCGAGAATTGAAGAAAAAAAAATCGAAAGAGAAAAGAATTTGTTGAAATGATTTATGAATAATTCTCAGACATGAAGGCGATTTTTTCTCCATTCTTCCTCAGGTAAATATTGAAACTCCACAGCCAACCCCTCGATCTCGCGAGCCCCCAGAGGCAATTCAAACCCTCCACCCACCGAATCCCCTCGACTTTGACGCCGGAACGAGCTCGGTGTCTCAATTTTTCGACACAGACACCGACGATCCCTTCACCCCAAGGCTACAGAAGTCAGCAAATACAAATGTAGAGGAGACTGTCCTAGTTTTCGGTGGAATTGATCCACACGTGGAGTACGGCGTCCCCGGTAACACTAGTAGAGACATTTACAGGTACAAATCAGTGGAAAATGTCTGGGAGTTTGTGGGTGAGATACCGGAGCCGAGGCATCACCACTCTGTAGGTGTTTTAGGGGGGAGAATCTACTTAGTGGGTGAGTGAAAAATAAATCGATATGATTGATAATTTTCCTGCAATCCTCGAATTGCAATGTAAGTGATAATTTCCAAAGCCAGTCAGACATGAGTCATCTAATCATCTGTGATCATTAACAGCATTGAAAATCGAATGATGAATGAGTCAACCATCAGAATCAATGTCAACAATTAATTCACCAAATAATTCCCATAATTTTCTCGCCTCAGGGGGTGCTGATCCCTGCGAAGACACCCTCCAAAAAAGAACTCCAGTCGTGGGAACAGTCTGGAGTTACGACATCGACACGCGAAGTTGGTTCAACGAGGCAGAATTACTGACACCAAGGAGGAACTTCGGACTTGTCGTCATCAATGGGAGGATGTACGCCATTGGTGGACAGGACAAGAACGGAATGTAATGGGATCAGAAAAAAAAATTATCCCGGGGTGACGATTGTGACCCTCAATGCTTGATAATTTATCGCATCAAAATGGTTCTTTCAGGGCTCTGCGATCAGTCGAAGTGTTCGACCCTGCGGAGGGCACTTGGCGCATAGCTCCCCCCATGCACACAGCCAGAATAGGCCCAGCAACTGTGAAATACGGTAATTACATCTGGGTGGGAGGGGGAATGACAATATCGAAGAGGGAGCCTCTCTCCAGAGACGTCGAGTGCTTCGATCCCTCGAAAAATACGTGAGTACCTCCACAAAACCCCTCTTCATCGAAGATTATTTGTTTACATTAATTCCAAGACGATCTGTATTGACGAAAGAAATGTATTTAAATGATGAAATTTACCCAGAAATTAAAAAAAAAAAGACGAGCCGTTTTGCTCCAGTAGATCCCGAGAAAATCCGAAATCCGTTATGACAGATTATTCATCGATCCCTAGATCATTTCCACCTGAACGGGGCGAAATGGGTTGGAGCCGATTCCGTCGGCCAGCCCGAGGGATTCTCCATTGAATTGAAGAAAGGCGAGTTATTTCGCCCCAGTGGATCCCTCAAAAATCCTAAATTTCTCCATAGATCATTTTAAATCATCGATCACTAGATCTACTTTACATTTTTTCATGTAACTCGGGCTCTGTGAGGCCTAAATGGATAATTTTTTTTTTAATTTGTGAGTAAATTTCCTGAGCTATCCAATGGGTTCATAATCGACCCCCCTCCCCCTTCCCATCCCGGAATAATTGTCCTCCGCAAGGTAATTTTGTTAGTGGACACGAAAAAATAATTGCAGATGGATTAATATCGAGCCCCTACGTGTTCCGAGGTGCTTCGCCTCCTTCCACGTAATGTTCGATACGTTGTACTTGATTGGAGGTGCTGGGAGGTCATTGAAAAATGCAAGCATGACAGAGAGCATCGATATTATCGATGTTTGGAACCCTGAGCTGAGGACTTGGAGGGAGTTCTCGAAAATGACTACAGGAAGACACAGTCATTCGACTGGTTCAATAGGTAGCATCATCTACTCCACAAAATTCATTCAATTCACACAATGATGTAATAAAAGAGAAGCTGAGCTTCTGTATTTTATCAACTTCAACAATTTCTTGACCTTTTTTCCTCAGTCTATTCGAAAAATTAACGACAGTTTCGTCTCATTTCTGGAATATTTCGCCTAATTCTCATTGCAACTGCCATTCAATTAACAGGAATTAAAAATCAATACCGAAGCGGTAAAACGGTTTAAGTCGACTTAGCTCTCATCTGAGTTTTTAAGGAATATCTCCCAATCTAAGGGAGATAATAAAATTTTTGTAATGACCTTTTTTGTAGAGCGAATGGAGTGCTATAGAAAAGGTCTTGTCAAAAATTTTGTCATCTCCCTTAGATTCTGAGATATTCATTGAAAACTATTTTAACGCTTCGCTTCTGAAATTTAATTGAAAAATTTTGCTTTGTGATTTTTCTGGAGTCCGTGGAGTGTTAATGACGGCAGTAATGACTTTTAGGTAATCAATTGATAATAATTGGGGGATTGACAACCATTTTCATGAAGACGTTAAGGACAATCGAGTGCTTTTGCTTCGAGAGGTCGAGATGGATTAAAGGAGTCGCTACACTCCCTTACGCAGTGTCTGGACATGCCAGTGTCTCTCTTCATTCAGAAAATTACTCCAGGCATTATTGAAAAATGAAATATTCATGCGGACAAAGTATTCCCACACTCACCCCCTTCGCCATAAGTGCTTCATCCTCAGCACTGCTCCATCTCCATTGTCCCATATTCATTTACTTCACTTCACGTCAGCACATTCTGCTGAAAAATAAACAGAAATATTTTTCTCTGTAATTTTTTTTAATAAAAGATTTTTCTCTCCAGGGCAGAGAGTATTAGAATATTTATTTCACTCTATATGGACGAATGAAACTAAAATCGAATGAATAATTCGAGAATTTCTATTGTTTAAATATTAATTCTACTCAACAGATGAATATAAAGAATCTAATTGAAATTAATATGGGTATTTTAATGTAAAAAGTGAGAAAGAACTCCAGAAAATTCGCCTGAATTTTCTCCAACACGCAAGTGTCCCTCTTCATTCAGAAAATTGCTCCAGAGATTATTGAAAAATAAAATATTCATGCGGATAAAGTATTCTCACACTCACCCCTTCGCCTCAACTGCTTCATCACCAGTCCCACCTTCATTCACTTCACTTCACTTCACTTCACTACATCCTAACGAAAAACGAATAAAAATACTTTCCACTAATTTTTTTCGGAATAAAAGTCTTTTTCCTCCACGGGAGAGAGTACTAGAATATTTATTTATCTTCTATTTTTATGGCACTGACTGAAATGTCTTGCGGCCGTTATGTTTACTTATCGAATGATTCGCGAATTTATACTGTTTACACTCGAGTTCTACCCAACAGATGAGTAAACAATCCCACAAAAATCACGTTTTCAAGTAAATAAACCCAATCCCAACAAACTACAGAAACTTTCCTCGAATTTCTGCCAATAAAGGAACCCTCAGCTCCTTCCTCCCCCCTAATTACCCTCCTCGCACCTCCCTAATTACCCTTAATTAGTCCCGAACACTGGATTCACCCGCAGATTCGAAAAACCCCGAGTTTTCCTTTGTCTCGTCCGATGGCGTCCCCTCCCGACTCGGCTGCCCGGCGCCATCTTGTGTCACTCGTTCCACTCGCGCACTCGTCACGCGTCGCGCGTCGGCATCACTAGATTATCAACCGTTCACTCGATGCAACTGCCAAAATTAATTGTTTATTCGTGCAGTGAACTAGTGATTAACTCTAGTCTAGGCTAAAATGCCGAGTGAGTCGCGAAAACAATCTGCCAACGGACAACATCAAGCAACAGTCCTTTGTAAACAGTTCAGTGATGTTTGGTTTTACACAACAGTCGCCATCTTGCCCGACATTCCCCCGATCGTCGGGGCGTCGAGTCGCCGTCGTGTCTCGTCCGTCGGTAACGCAATTGAACGACAGTGGAATTGAATTTTTTATATATACATATCCGCGAAAAACATATACAGGTTTTCGAATGTTTCCTGGACACGATATAGGTGCCAGTTTAATGCAGACAGGTTAACCGGGGAGTTAACCTGTAAAATGGCCGAATCTATCGATCCGGTTACAACCTGTGTGCCTCTCAGTGTTGTCAATGTCGATGAGAACAATGTGAGTGAGACTGGCTGTCGTGATTCCGCCACAATCAGTGGTATGTATCGTTTATTTTTTTTAGTGGGGTGAAGTGTTTTTTCGGGGGGGGGATCTCCCCCGTTCGAATGCAGATGCGCTTCTGCGCTATGGGGGAGTTATCGTGCAACAAGTGGCACATTTGTGCCTGACAGGAACGTACTTGCCATTTTTTTTTCCCAAATTCCGGAAATTTTACAGTTTTAGTTATTAAACGAGAGAAATTGTTTTGGGAGATGATTGAAGGAGACATACTGCAGTTTTTCTTTTGCATTCCTCACTTTTTTTTTGCATTAGTAACTGGAGAGGTCAGGAATTAAAGATTTGATGAATTTTTTTCCGGTGAATTACGAAAAGTACGGGAAATTTTTCTTTATTAAGTGATTGAACGTTTGGTTTATCGCGAAAGAACTGGATACTGTTTTTTATTGACAATTTAGTCTTTTCTCACCAACAGTTAGATAAGACCTTTTCTAATTCTATTAATGGGACAGGGAAATAATTTCTTGTGAGGAAACGGTTCAAGGAAAATGTATTTTATTGCAAGAAAATGAATAACATTTTTTATTTTTGGAGTATGGAATTAAAATTATAGAATTGATGCTTTTGGTGGAATTGGAGGAATAATTTTTTTTTGTGTTTGAGAAAATGTTATTACGAATGTTTGAACTCTCAAGTATTTTTCACGTCAGAAATCTAGATAAAAATTGAGGAAATCAAAGGGAAATAAATTTTTAGGAAATGATAGAAGAATATATTTGATGACTAAAAGATGGATAAATTTTTTTTTGCATTTTATATACATTTCTTCAGATGAAATATCCTGTGAGGTACAACCATTCAATATTTTTCATTAATTTATAAAAAATCGAAATATCTTTGATGTATCAAAAGCCTTATTTTGACTCCTGTCGCCCTTAGGATCTTTGTGAACCCTGAAAATTTTTACGTTATCTTAATTCACAAAATTATTATCTAGACAAATAATCAATAGATTGTCCATCAAAATTTTCCTATCAATATTGTTCCTATAAAAAATTGCAATAAAAATTTAGATCATTTTTTTAATGAAAAATTTGAAAAACTGTAAGGACTTGAAAAAATTTACACTAAAAAATTCTTCGTAGAATTTTTTCATTTCTTTTATTTTACATTTTACTCATCTCCCCCCCCCCTTCTTAAACCTTATCAACTGCTGGTAAATGAGCAGCTCCTCCCCAAGCACAACGTCGTCACAAGTGTTTGTGTTTACGCCGCCAAATTGTTGATAAAATACCTCGATTCCTCGACAAATGGAGGAGCAATGTCGAGAGGTATTCTCGTAGAAGATAGCACATTTTTCGAATTATCCCCAGCACTCGAACGAGTGGCATTATCGTTGAACAATGATGTGACCCATCACGATCAGCTGATTGCACTGTCAACAGTGATAATGGGGGAAGTTGGCTACTACATCGACGATGACAATGACCAGTAAGTGAACGATCGGTGATTCAATCAGTGATTTTTCTGGGTGAATAATTGTTTTTTAATTTTTGAAGGCCCTTTGACCCTGTGCGGTGGAGGGCCTCGGGGTTCTACGAGATCCCCATGAGGAGCAGACTCTCTGAGGATCTGGACGTGAAGCTGGTGGCCATTCCTTTTGGTGATGTTCTGATTCTGCATGTCTCCTCCGTTAATATCCCGGTGAAAACGAGGTTGATGACTGTGGAAACACTGGCATTTGTTAATCCGTACTCCAGCGACCTCGCTGGCAAGTTCCTGGACCTCAAGAGGCTCTCACACAGGTGATATTGCTCTGTCAATATATTTAGTTTTCAATTTTTTTTTATTTCTTTTTTTCAACTGGGGGATTTTTATGATTTGCAATTTTATTAGAGTATTTTAGGCTTGGGAAATTGTTTAAAATCTTGGCATTGATGCTTTCATTGTTGAAATTGCATTTTTAATTTTATATGAGCTTTGGTGATTAAAAAATTATTTTATATTGGATTTTCAGTCGTAAAATCAGAGTTTCAAACACAATTACTCAATCCTCGTGTCTGTAAAACTTTTTTTACATAAAAATTCCTCTTTCAGCGACTAAACTCAATTATAAATTCCATTCCAGTATTTTATAATATTTATCGATGCATTTTATTTCCTTTTACCATGCTAAAATAATGATTATAACAATAATTATCAGACTTTTAAGGGCAAAATCATGTTCTTCTGAATCGAAAGTGATTTATAAAGCACGAAATTAGAGTTTTAATCATTATCATTCATTTTCTTGTCCATAAAACGTCATTTTGTCATGAAAAAATTACAAATTAACAAAATTCCAAATTAAAGACGTCAACCCATTTTATTTTTTTTTTTCATTGCTTTCAGGTTTAAAGACACACTGACAACACCAATAAGAAATGAGATCCTGAACGCAGCTGAAGTTACGAACCCAAGTCTCCTGGGTCTCCCCGTGGAGATTCAAGAGAAAATTCTGTCCCTCCTCGACCCAAAATCCGCCAGAAACCTCAAATCCTGTTGTAGAAAGTTTCGAGAACTTTTCTGAAGTCTAAGGTACTCCAATCCCACATTTCCCACTCCTCTACCCTGATAAAACAGAATTTATTTATAATTTGGAATTTTCAACGAATAATTCCAACTCGATGTTTAAGTTAAGAAGTATCACGATGGAAACTCTGTAAAATATTTTATTAATATTGTCATTGTATTCGAGAGTTAATAAATTTTTCTCATGAAAAATTAAATTTTTGTATTCAATTTTTATAAAATATTCTAAACACTTGAATTGAAAAACAGATGTCGTTATTTTTTAGAATGATGAATGATTTTTTAAATTATTTCGTGAATATCTTTGCAGCTGTGAGCTTCAGAGGAAAATATCATAATACATTTTTGTAGGACATTTCAAGGGCTACAATAAATTTCTTATGACTTTTCCTGGTAAACCCAATAGTTTTCGAGATATTTACGAAATTATCTATATGAGTTTTTGGACTTGTTTTTTTTATTCTCAAAAACTGATTCATTAATTATTGGAATATCTCGGTAATGACTGGTTTTAGGATAAAATGTGATAAGAACTTTTTTGTAGAGAATTGAATTTCCTACAAAAATGTCTAGTGGTATTTTTCTCTAAATCCACTCATTCTCTAGATTTTTATTGTCTAGTTTTTTCTTTCTCTCAAAATTGATGTATTAATTTGTTTATTAATATTCCCACGAATTTTTTTGATTCCAGAAGACGATAATGACGATTCTAATACTCCAAACAGCAAGGATGAGGATACAGGCGAGAATTCCCCCAGCAACACATCTACCTGTGAGTAAAAAAAAATTAATTCCACTAAAGTAGTATGAACATAGTCCACTTGAGTCGTGGAGTAAAAAACGAATTAAAAATGCCAAAAAAATAATGATTCATCACTGACAATTTTTTACATGACTTATAATTTTGACGAGTGTAAGAAATTAATCCATCAAATTCTTTTTTAACCAATAAAATAAAAAAAATTCTTTTTTAATTATTTTTTCAAGCAGTAGTCTCTCGCTTGACTAGGGTCATTTGACGCTTGTAAATTAATTATTATCAATGATACTGGACTATCGATTGAGCGGAAATTTCACCTGAACGTTTCTGTTGACATCAACTTTCAGTCAAAATTTATTTCGTATTTTATTCTTTAAAAATGGAGCTGTGTTCATATTACTTTAATTCCTGAAATTAACCGAAAACTCGTTTGGAGATGACAAAGGGTGATACAAGTTAAACCGGAAATGCAGAGACTAGTTGACTGTCACTAATCTCGTCTCAGTGGTACAACGCTCGTAAATTGCTGGGAGATTTCCGGCTTTTCTCCCCACTGCAATACCCCTCCGTCCGTGACCCCATACTCCACAGCCCCTGCGTCGCCTAGGTCAGGAGTCACTTCATTAATTATTATTTGAATAATTTAGGTGGGTTTTACCTGTAATTATGACCGAGTTTAGCCGGAGGGAAAAATATAATGATCGGTTTTTTAGGGTAATTGGAATTTTAATCCCATTTTAATTGGGGAATTTCGGAATTTCAAGCGATCAAAGCTAAAAATGAGCGAAAATTGAGGGGAATAATTTATTTTTTATTCATTGAATGCTTTATTCAGGCGGTGGACGATAATAGCTAGGTACTAATGATGAAATGGAGCGGAGAAAAATCATTTCTCATTAAATTTTCGATTTTGTAATTCTTTTTTCGATTAAAATAATAGAAAAATTGCTTTAAAAATTCTTTAAAATAAAAAAAAAGATATATATTTATCATCTCTTTGCCTCAAACAATCTCGAGAACCTCGAACGATCAGAAAATTTTTGAAAAACTCGTATTTTTTCATTTAAAAAATTATGGAATTGCTCCAATCTCAAAAAATTCAATGAATCTTTGATTCAATTTTAAAAAATTCCTTCAACCCCCAAAGTTTCTAAAACAGTTTTAAAAAATTCCTCTTCCTCTCGATGAGGGTCAGCCGCCTTGATTCAGGTCATCACACGTCCCCATTCCCAGATAGCCTCGTCCACTCATCTTCACCCTCTACCTCTCTCCCTCCCTCAAAAAACCTCCACCCACAAAAAGAAATCCCAACCATTTTTCCTTTCTTCAATATTTCTCAGTTCAAAAAACTTTATAAATTGCCCCAAAAAAATCAAATGATTTTAATCACCAAATAATCTTTAAAAAATTTAAAACCTAGTGTTCTCAATTTTTTTTTCAAATTCTTCAATTTTTCAATTTAAAGACTCTTAAAATTCAAAAAAAAAAAATTCTAAAATTATTTAATCATCTCGCTCCCCATTTTTCTCAATATCCGAATTCTTCTTCGGATGAAAAACCTCCGGAAAAATGATGAGAAACGTACAGTGAAAAAATTCCCAAAAATGTAAAAAAATCCTCTTCCTCTCGATGAGGGTCAGCCGCCGCGATTCAGGTCACCGAAGGTCCCTGTTCCCAGATAGCCTCGTCCACCCATCTTCGCCCTTCCCTCAAAAAAATCCCCAATATTTTGCCCTGGAGGTCCCCAACTCGTCGCCCTCAAAAGCCCCCAAAAGAAAAACAGAATTCGTAATTTCTCCTGCCTCCATCTGGCTTAAGCTTGCGCTGTACCACCCACCCCCACCCCCTCCCCCTCGGCCACCCCCACAACTGGTACCCTAGAGCCACTCAACATCCCAGTGCGCGCATCGAACCCGTCCTGGACGTCGCTCCTTTCCCGTTTTCGTTCGGCCCAAACGACGAGAGAAATATTTTGAAAAATTGAGAACAAGTGGAAATTCTTTTAATTTCATTGAATCGTGACGTTTAATTGACTGCGGAGCGCTCGCGTTGCCGTCCTAATGCACTCGAATACCTGAGAAACTCGTTGGCTGGGTACTCTACCACCCCCACCCAACCCCCGGAGGGAATAGTTACCTTTTTGGAATGTTGGAAGACACGGGAATCCGTGTTTTTTTATCTCTCCACTTTGTCTCGAGAGAGGGATGAATTATTCAAATGAACTTGCTTTGTGATATGAGAGGATGGAAATGAAGAGTCAAAGGGAGATGGTGGTGAATTATAAACTCTAGATGTTCTGAGTTTTAATTTTTTTGAAATTGTCGGTATTTCGAGGGATGTTAATTTATTAAAATGACGTGAATTCAGTGGCTCTTTTGGTTAAAGAATCCTGTTGGTTTTTGGTAATTCGAGAAATTTTTAAGTGATAGCAATTTTTTTTTCTTTTGTTAATGCGGTATTTGCCAATTTGGGGGGAAATTCTTTGTGAAACTTGGGAATAATTTTTCAATTTGTGAAATTTTAAGGGTATCCAAGTATTTTTTTGTGAAAGAATTTTAAAAACTGGGTTTTACATCATTTTGAAATGACTAGCATTTCAACTCGATTTTAAGTTTTATTTAGAACTATCAGAAAATTTTTCAAAATGTTGAAAAAAATGGAGAAATTGACTTTGAAAAAATTGCGATCATTTTTTCAAATAAAAAGTTCAAAAAATTACCATTATTTATTTTTCACAAACAAATGTTCTAAAAATATATATTTTTTAATCAATTTTCTTAAATTTTTCTCTTTTAATTTACTTAACAAATTTAATAATTAAAAATCTCCAAATGAAACTCTAAAAAATATTTGGATACCCCTAATAATTTTCTTCAACGACTCAAGGTGAAAAGTCAGTGCTAAAAAAATATAAAAATGCCTACGTAAAAGAAACATAAAAAAAAATTCTGAAAAATCGTGAAAACTGTGGAAGCCAGAGAAATCGTCGAGCGGCACTCCGATCGTCGTCGGAGTGTCGCTCCAGAAGGTCGCGAGTCTTCTGAGTCTCGGCAAGGAGGACAATGTCATCCTCGCTGGGACGTCAGCTGATGATCGCATGAGACGCCGATTTGAAATCATCGGACGTCCGGTTAATTTTCGTCGTGAATATGCCAGAATGCTGACGCACAGTCACAGCGATGGAGAATTTCCAATATATTCGCAAGGTACGTCTGAACCCAAAAAAAAATCCTCACTCAATTTTTTTTTCATTTTCCATCCCAAAAAATTCCAAAAAATAGTTGATTTTATTTTCATTTAAAAAGTACAAAAAATCCAATTGTTTTTTTATCTCCAATTTTTTATTTTTGTGTTTTCTCATTTCTTCATTTTTTTCTCATTCTAAAAATAAAAAATAATATTTTTATTTAGTTGTTTAAACAAAATTTATTACTAAAAATACAAAAATTCATATTTGTCCACAAAAAAAATGATCGTCTCTTCAAACAAAATGGAAAAAAATTGTGAGCGAATGGCACTTACGCCCGACTGCCTGAAGCCCACCGACCCGGACGACTAACCAGCGATTATTGACAACGACGCAAAAATAATTGCGATTGCCCGGCACAGATTTTTATGCACTTCCAGTGGCGATTTAATATTACCCCTTGGAGGGAATAATCCGGCGCGAAAGCTCGTTAAAAAATTCCACGCGCCCACAAACAAAGGGAAATGTATCGGAAAATGTATTTATAAAGTGGGTGAATTAAATCCTTAATTTTTACCAACGACAATTGACCCATATTCAGCAGTGTGCAAAGGATTAATTAGTAATGTGGGTTATTCGGAGACGTTCACAGGTATTCATTGATTTTAGTAGCGGTGAGTGATCATTCCACTTGCCGAAAACATCGACTTATCATAATGAATTTCTCTTATTTATAGTGCAGAATAAGATGACCAAATAGTGGCCATTCTGTGAGATTCGGGAGGGGGTCGGGAAAAGTGTAATTCATTCATTTTCCCAAAAAGCAACTGTACCTCACAGACTAGACGCACAAGTTTCCAGTCAGACTTTTCCCCCTGCAATTTTCATTCACCACAAGTTCAAATCGATATAACCCGTCCACTACCAATCACTCCTGAAATCCCCACTGCATCAACAGTCGATTCGTTTCAATATCTGCTGACCACTACCAGAATTGACGTTTTCCATCGCAAACCCATAACGAGCAGCATTCGACAGGCCATCATCGTCCCTCCGTTGTTTCCCCTGAAATTCCGACAAATTGATTTATTTTGTTATCGTCTCCTGACGACAGGTGATATGCAACATTTCACCCGTCATTAGCGCCGAACACCGTACGAAAAACATTCTCCACCCTCCGGCCCAACTCCTGGCTGAAGCGATGCGCTGTTCTGTCGATCGTTGTCTTTCGCTGCCAACACGTCTCAATCTCCGTCTCGCAGAAGCGATAGTGATTAGACGTGCCGACATCAGGATCAACCGCAGCCTCCTTGTACCCTGAAATCAGCGAGACCACTCGGTTCGATGGATTTCAAAGATTTCGAATAGTTTGGGAGATGCATTCTGGGGGCAACTCACTTCTGAATAACGACCAAGTTCGCTTCATCCTCCAGATCCGATGATTCCCCAACTCAATGACGTCTCTCCCCTGCGCTATGAACTTACTCCGGTCGTGCGGGGGATTAACCTTTTCCCATCTTCGAGTCTTGCTGTGGAAATTTATCTTGGGAATTCCTGAAACGTAAAAAAGAATCGTAAAATGAGGGGGAAATTATGATGACATAAAGATCTCGAGCACGGCGATAGACCTCGTGGTTACCCTCGACAAAAGGCTCTTATAGTGCACACACATCAACATCGCGAATGAAAAAGCAAAAGCCATCATTGTGAGGCTCTACTACCCATTTGAAAACAAATCCCTGTCGACACAAGCTAAACTCAAAGGCTTTAGGCTCTGTAGGCTTTTCCACAGATCGCTTTTCCCTACTATAAACATCCATTCTATTGAGTAACTCAACTCACCAGGTGATAGAGTGACTGCATCGTCGTCATACATCAAATAGTAGAAAGCGTTCCTGAAAATCCATGCTCCAACAGTCCCACCCTCATGATTGAGATACTCCATCATCTCTGAGAAGTTGTCATGCCGCCTCGGCATGACATATTCATCAACATCAACCCCCAAGACGTACCTGTACCCAGCGAACGATGTGCTCCTGTACAAACAGTCGTTCAGAGCCGCGTAGATTCCGTCCACCCGGAGATTCCTCTCGAATTCGTAGAGATCCGCTAGCTTCCACTGGAGGACAACAGCTGCATTCAGGTGGGAGTAGTACTCCAGGACTTGATCGACCCTCGGGGCCACCGAGTCCCGGTAAAAAGTGAAACGATCGACTCCCATCATCCTGTAGTACTCGATGAATGCGATCAGATCATCAGCTTTGTCAAACTGATGATGAAACGGCTGCACACAAACGGAAAACAATCGTCGATTGTCCTCGGCCTTTGGGTATCGTATGGCGACGAATTCGGAGGGGTCTGGGGTGTCGATGGGTCGATCTGGGGTGGTCGATACTGTCACAGCGGCGGGCAATCGGATGTTGGCCGGATGAGCTTCGTTTGGATGCGGAAGTGGACAGAGGATGTAAGCGGCGCAGTAGTACATTTCGAAATTCTCGCCGAATGCCACTAATTCGGTTCTGATTGATGGCTTCTTCAGGATGTAGGAGGTATGATTAGCGGAGGGGTAGCGGAAGCTGCAGGTCAATTGGGTGGCGACGGCTGATACCGGAACTATGCCGATTATTCTGACCTGAAATCGTGGGGTGGGTTAGGCGGATGTTGGGGATGATAGTTTACGGAGAGCTTATCGTGACTGACTGATGCATCATTCGATTTTCAATGATGTTGATGGTTGCTGATGATTAGATGACTGATGTCTGATGTCTGACTGGCTTTATGAATCATTTGTTGCATTGCAACATCAACGATTGAGGAGTCATTTCAATGACTTGGTCCACTGGTGGTGGACTTTATGATTGGATTCAGTGAAGAATGATTCTGTGTCAGTGGATAATGACTGTTTTTATGTTTTCATTGTTCATAGATGATTAGATGACTGATGTCTGACAACAATTGACGATTTTAAAAACATTTCGAGCAACAAAATGAGACCTAATTTCTCCGAATCCCAGTGTAAGGCCTGTTTCAGAATGGATTTTTAATGACAAATTAATGGCTCGAATTCTACGGGCATTATCTTGAATAATCAAGATAATACAAGGGCGATTTCATCCGTCAAATTAAAATTTTTATCTTTTGAGTCACTTACGAATCCCCATGCACTGCCAGAGTAGATTAGCTTATCATCCTCTTCGAGAACGACTTCCGGCCGAGTTTCTAAATAAGCTGAAAATATTCGCCAGTTCTCGACGCCTGGAGTTCTCCAAGAGTCACGCGACTCGTCCTCAATCGTCAGGATTTTTATTTCTCGGTCCCACTCGTCTCGGAAAGCTTCTGTCATCGGTTTCAGTTTCGATAAATTCCAGAGTCTCTAGAACAGCGGAACACACATCAAACTGTCAGAATGTATTTCGTTATTGTTGAGGTTAGATTAGTAATTTGGCTCACCACTTGCAGCAGAGCGATCCATATTAGCCCCAATGCCGCGAATAAAATTGCGATTTTCTTGGCACAGTTGAGGTATCCGTTTCTCCGCAAAATTTTGGAGTTCGATATCAGACGGTATTTGAACACCATTTTGCCACATGTGAACGGACGATTAAGCTCACCGCGAAGCGGACTGTAAAGACTAACGCGACAGACTGAGACATTTTTTCCTCAGAACGTCCTATCTTCCTGGAATTGATAAGCCCGGGCGACGCGGGCTTATCTGGAGCAGGTAGAATGCACGATAAATATGATTGCTTGAGGCGTGAGTCTTCAGATATATTATACATGACATTTTCAATGAAAACAATGACAAATGCTAAATGTGGATAAATAAAATGATACAATCATCTCGATCCCGGTGAACAAAAAGCTCAAGGGTGGTGACCGCGATTGAAATAAACATCTTCAAATTAAAGGCACCCCTATCTCCTCCCTCCGGATCAGATCCAACACAGGATTGATCCATAACTTCATAAATCGCATTGCAGACAATTTCGAAGTGAATATTAAAAATCATTCACATTCATTAATAAATAACATCGAGCCTTCCGGAATTTCAAGATGGTCAACTGGCCGTAGTTAATATGTTCGATTTTCCCTACTATCACCATGCCTTGTATTTTATAACTCAACCCTCTGTTAGCTAAATAAAATACAAACTCCATGATATTTTTTCTGGCTGTCCACGAAGTGCTTTCGAGCCCGAACAGTGACTATAACAACAATTGTGAAATAAGGCATTGGAATATTCATGTTCAGTGGAGTCACTCCACTCGAAACATATTGGGGGGTGTGATTTGGCGAGTGCAAGAGTATTCTCCATCCTCGCTTCGGTGGATACCGTGCCTGGATGAATTCCAGAGGCGTCGATGGCAGACAGGAACGTGAGACAAAATGAGAGCCCCGTATTTTGCACGTGTCTGTCATAAATCTCCCTCCAGTTGTGGGTAATATTGAGAGAATGGGTGTTATTCCCGGGGGAATCGATCAGGCGTGGGGGGAATACAGAAATCACAAACTCCTTCTCAATAGCTCGCAACAATTTCATGTTCATCATCAGAAAATTCTAATGCCACTGGTGATAACAGTCCCATCAGGATCCGGAAATTTTTCTCCCGCATTCATTGTTCACTCGAGCCTGAAATGAGGGCGATTCAAGGGGCCATTGCCGAGGTTCAATTCAAGCCTAGCCCAGGCTTTGAGTATTGAGGCTCAATACGTAATTATTCGAGCCTCTGCAAGGCCTCAAAAATGAAAGTTAGTTTCGATTACATTCCTTAATTTTTATAACGATTAACGTTTCTGATGCTAATGAAACACTCGGAGGCGCCAGAAATGTCGAGGCCAAAGTGTTAGATCTTGGATTTTGCCAGGGGAAAGTCGACTTTCGCCAAAATCGAATTTTCCCGCCAAGTGAGGGTTGATTCCGTATTTTTGGGCCCCTCTAATGTCACTGAGACCCTCACTTGCCCCAGAAATGCAGAAATAAAAAAAAAATTTTTTTCACCCGCAGCCAAAGTGCCATATTTAGACTTTTTTCGGGGAGAAAGTCGACTTTCGCCAAAATCGAATTTTTTAGCCGGGTGAGCGTTGATTCCAACTATTTAAGCGACGGGCTATTCAGAACTATCAAAAATATATGGAAAAAGTGAAAACTGAAAAAAAAAATTTTTCACCGGGACCCAAAGGGGTCAGATCTTGGATTTTTCCAGGGGGAAAGTCGACTTTCACCAAAATCGAATTTTTTAGCCGGGTGAACGTTGATTCCAACTATTTAAGCGACGGGCTATTCAGAACTCTCAAAAGTATGTGGAAAAAGTGAAAACTGAAAAAAAAAATTTTTCACCCGGACCCAAAGGGGTCAGATCTTGGATTTTTTCAGGGGGAAAGTCGGTCGAAGGGTCACGAGGGCCAAAGTGTCAGATCTTGGATTTTTCCAGGGGGAAAGTCGACTTTCACCAAAATCGAATTTTTTAGCCGGGTGAACGTTGATTCCAACTATTTAAGCGACGGGCTATTCAGAACTCTCAAAAGTATGTGGAAAAAGTGAAAACTGAAAAAAAAAATTTTTCACCCGGACCCAAAGGGGTCAGATCTTGGATTTTTTCAGGGGGAAAGTCGACTTTCGGCAAAATCACCCTCATTAATTCAAAAAGTCATCAGGAAAACTTCTGAGAAGTTCTTCTCATCGAAAAACGATTGGATCGCGTTTTCCACTCGAAATTCCCCCATTCAATCATGGTCCAGTCGCTTTGATATAGCTCGAGTGCACCCTCAGTGGTTGTAACATCTTCAGAATTACTGTCAACAGTATTTTCCCCGGGATTTCTCCCGACTCCGCTTGCGGCGCCGAGTTATCACTGCGTCCTCCACCTAAAGACCGCTATACCAATGGGCTGTCAGGCGTAGCCAGCAGCAAAATCCGATAGTCCAGTAATGTACTTAGATTGAAAGTCCGTGGCGGGGGTTTATACACGGGATAAGAACTGGAGTATCGTCCGCTATCTCCAGCTATTCTGGACGCAAGTCTCTTGGTCTCGTGCCGTAATCCCCGCGGCCGACAGCGTCGGCAGTGGGGCCATGCGTCTTGATAATGGTCTGGAGGTAATGGTCATATTTCATGAATTTTTTGACAATAGTAACTCGTACGGGGAGACAAATTGAAGAAATTGAATTGCACTGTTACAATGATGGATACCAGGGATTCCGTGAGATTCGGGAGGGAGTCAAGAATAGTGGGACAGAATGGTGCGATTTGAATAAATTTTAAGCTGTGTGAAACTTATGAAAGGGGCTTCTAATGATGACCATCATGATTTCCGTGTTTGTTCAGGTAAATTGAACCATTTCAAATAAACCACATTCGAAATGAGTCCTCAAATTGATAGCGATTTGACCCTTCAACCGCTTCGACTTACATCCTCATGTTTCGAGAGTGTTTGCTCAACTACTCAGCGTCAAATAGTATTTTTCGGGCATATTGATACTTCCCATTAGTAAATTTCAAGCTGGAGTGTGGGGGAAAGGTGAACTGAATGACTTCGACTCATGTTTCTTCAAAGAATTATCAAAATTTATTTGTAGAAGTGTAATAAGGTCATGTTTACATCGCAATCATACGAAGAGGGCGTCTCCCTGTTTATCCCCATCCAGCTCTGGAAAACGGAGAGAGCAGAATGATATGAAAAAATTCAGACAGAGGAGAGCAATAAGAAAAACTGATAAAATGATTTAATACATAAAATCATAACTACCCTATCACAGCGTAAGATACTTTATATCGTTCATTGTTATTTCCATCTGATTGTCCTCCGAAGCCGCCAACCGTGTCTTCACCATCATCATTGATAGGTCTGCTGACCCAGAAGAAAGGTGATCCCCGATATCTAGTGCCTCTCACAATAATAATTTCTGATCCATCTAGAAAAACAAAAGATCAGTTTCGGTGGTGAAAGCGAAATTACATCAGTCCGATAGACTTCAGAAATTTAATGCGCAAATCTCTTGAGAACGCAGCGATTTAGCGAAAAATGTGAAAAGCCCTTTCTTGTACAGAATCGCATTCTCCACAAAAAGGGTCCTATTAAATTTTTCTCTAAAACTAGTAGTTTTTGATGAATTTGCAGAATAAATCATGTGACGATAATGCAACATATCACTTACATTGAGATGACTTTACAAAATTGCAAAAATCTTTTGAACGAAGAGGTTTAGAAAAAAATACAAAAAGACCTTTTTTGTTCCGAATTCAATTTTCTACAAAAAGTTCCTAAGCCATTTTCATCTAAACCTGGTAGTTTTGATTGATTTCCAAAATGAAGAAGTTGAATTTCTTCGTCTCATGCCCGCAGCTCAAATCATCATCACATACAAACCAAAACAATTGTAAAAGTTACCAATTTCGTTTTGAGGTGCAGCACAACTGTTCTGTAGCCTCCCAATAACAATAAAAAAGAACACAAAACCAGCAACAATTAAATTTCTCATTTCGTCTAACGATGCTCATCGCCAGAAAATTATGACGGATTACACCAAGCGATGAGTCTACTTATATACCCCGAAACGGAACAACAGTTCCGATGCTAATTTGCTTCTGAGAGATAGCTTCGGAAAATTTTCCAGCGGCCTTTGCAGCTGCTGTTTGTCCATCGATTAGGAGACAATTTAACGGACGTCATTGAAGGAAAAGGCAGCTATTGCTGACCTTCAGAGGTCAATGCGCAAAATCAACGACAACGAAACAGTTTAATTAATGAACATTGACAATGAGGGAAATGTCGGGAGGAAGTGCATGGAAATGAGGGTCTCGTGAGACTTTCACGTGAGAAATATCTCGAGGTCAGGACGAAAATTCAGACGATCCAGCAGTTGAATTTCAAAAACAATGAGAATTTTTCAAGAAAAGTTGGCAAACACGCTACTCCTCCCACCGGATTCTACACGAGATGGTTCATTAATCGATTACCGTTATTGGATATACGTACACAAGCCCTATGGAGTGTAGGACAAACTTGTTGGGCTGCGTCGACCGGATACCCGCGTCATCAACCCGTAGGTGATAACACATTGCGGGGTGTAGCGTTGCCCAGCTAAAATACCATCCCTAATTCAATATCCCAGCTAACAATGTTGACCGAGGGTGAACAAAGGACGGTTCATCAAACCGCGAAGTTCTGTTTCTCAATATTTTCTGGATGAGACGAGAATCCATAGGAACACTTTCCAATGCATGAACCCGATCGATCACTAAGAGAGGGCATATAATATTGGACAGTCATGGCGAAAAATCCGAGACTTCATTTTGGTGAACCCCTTTTGTATGCAAAGCCACGTGGAATATCAACTCGGCTATCACTGAAGTTCTCAAAATCACGTCAATAAAAGGGGCTGAAGTGCTGGTGGTTGAAGGAATTTTCAAAGGAGACTGCACAATATTGAACGATGAGCCATTGTCGTATTTCATCGAGGCTCTTTTTCCGTAGAAGTTTTCTAGTGAATTTCATCGTGAAAGGGCTTTGCGGAAGGGGATTTCATTGTTTGGACATTAGGGGTACTTGAAAGCGGGTGGGGGTGGGGGAATTTCTAGTAGAAAACATCGTACGGCTATTGATTTTAATCAATGGAATGTGAA